GTTGAATTTGTTTATAGGTGGACACATCTATACCAGCCATGCTTTATTTCCGTTTTCTGAATTTTAAGCTGAGAATATAATGGATCAACTTACGTTCATAAATCATTACTTTGCATTAAACTGGGCACATAACCTGTTCAAATTACTGGTTTAAATACATTTATTTAAGCTTCAAGTAGAACAAAAGCAACAGCAGAATCACTGATGACACACACCACTGAAACATATTCATAAAATATAAATGCAGGAATATAATAGTGTTGCCAAAAAGTACCTAGAGAGTGTGATAATGGAATTACAGATTTAACAGTGTCAAATATCACATTTTTTCAAATTAAATAGCTTGTTTTTTTTGTCCTATGTGAGCCAAAATGATTTTATTTTATTTTTTTATTTTTTGTAATGAGCACAAAATTGTTCTAAATGTAAATACAGGGACTGGAGAAATGTGTATTAAGTTAGATTTCTCATTTTATACATTTTTTTAAATTTTAAAATAGGGGAAACATGAATCTTTGTGTTATTTAAAATATTTTTATAACAGGATGTATATATATATCTATGATGAATATCTATGATGCAAAACCAAAGGCCAAGTAATGACTGTAATGTACACATTGTGTGTGTATGTATGTATGTGTATACAGTACAAAATCCGAAATCCGGACTTGTCGAGACTTCCGCGATTTCGGATTTTTCCGAATATTAGATCATCAGTTTAAATCTAGTAAGATGGCATGCAGAAATTATAAAATTAAAATTATGAAATCCCGATTTATGAAATAATGACACGTTAATAATCAAAATCATAAATGCTTCAAAATTACAAAAAACAAAGTATCAAAATTTACCAAAAAAAAAAAAAAAAAAAAAAAAAAAAAAAAAAAAAAAAAGCTTAATATTTATTTATTTACCGTATTTGATGGCATATAAGACGCACATTATTTTCAAAATTTGGTCTCAAAAAAGTTACCTGCGTCTTATACGTGAAGGACACAGTATAACTTTCAATACTGAATGCTATTTTTAACCCGGATAAAGGTCTAGACACACATAACTTTTTCTACATCTGCCATAATTATTTTGCGCATGCGTGAAATATCTGTCGCCAAAAAGCGCCAAAGCTCGAAGCTGATGTCAAAGTTCGAACAGGTTTGATGATCACATTATGTCTATGGAGCCTTTCCTTCTTTACATAGACTTTCTTTGGCTCAGTGGACACGCGTGTCGGTATCGGCGCTACTCTGTATAAATGTGTCGGTATTGGTGCTTAAAACTATTTGTTTAAAAAAATACCCTGGAAAATATGACTACAGGAAACAAGAGATTAAGCTATACAATTCAGTATAAACTAGAAGTGTTAAACTATGCCAAAGTGCATGGAAACAGAGCAGCAGCAAGGCATTTCAGTCCACCACCTACTGAAAAAATTATACGTACTTGGCGACTGCAGGAAGATCAACTAAAGACTGCTAAAAAACAAAAACATAACCTTCGATGCCCAACTCCATCTTGGCCTGAACTTGAAAATGCCGTAAAAATGTGGATGATAGATAAGAGGAAATCTGGGATAAGTGTTTCAAAATGATAATCAATGAGGCCAAAGGATTTGCAGAAAAACATGGGAATCAGAACTTTTCAGGGTCTGAGGGCTGGTGCTACAGGTTCATGAAAAGGCAAGGATTATTAATGCGCACAAAAACACAACTATTGCACAGAAAATGCCAGCAGATTATAAAGAAAAAGTACTAGCATTTCATAGGTTTGTTATAAATGCACGCAAGAAAACTTACTTTGAGCTCGTTGTAATAGGAAATATGGATGAAAGAGAAAGAAACCACATTTTCAAGTTATTGTGGTACTGAAACTTTTTTACCTTGTGTGTGGCCTTATATGCTGTCAAATAAGGTACTTTATTAAACATTTCTTTCAATGTAAGTTGTTTAAGTTTCCTCGTTTATTGTGCTAATACTTTCTCTTTAATTCTCTAGACTGGCATAATTTTTTGTTCAGTTACATTGTTGAAGTCCTGTAATTGCTGTGTCAAGAATTCCAACTAACTTGTCAATCAAAATTTTTTCGTTTTCAGTAAATTCTCTCACTTTCTTCACTATCGGTAGCTGTATTTTCTTGATCTAGAATCATACTATATATTTTGCCATCCATTAACAGATTGATTATTATGGAGCATTGTCATCACAATGAAAATCTTCTTTTGTATCATCTTCATTTGCTACCCCTTTTCCACATTTCTTTACAAAATCCTTTAATTGGAAAATTTCACCTTTGGTTTGTGATATCCGAAAACCTTTAAAATTAGCGGCTATCATCATCAAATTTAGCTATCCTTCACTGTATGTGTTTGGCTATGCATCATTAGCTTGGCGACTAACAGCAAGTTGTTCCGTTAAATTTTATCTTGCTTCTACCATGCACTGAGACAATTAATCCTGAATTGTATTAGTTTAGTTATTTATTGTATTTATGTCTATTTCTGGCACATACTGAGGTATATGTTTTACCTGTATCTTATGTATTAAATTTTAAAGTGATTCTTTAATTCTTTAAGTGTTCACAATGTTTTTTTTATAAATCAACAAAATATCTCAAACCATACAATGAGACAAGTTGTAACAAAATCTCGAAGGAAGTCTTAACATGTTACAACTTCTTCTAAATACTGATTCGTGCAGTTAGACTTTTTCTTTAAATGTTAACATGCATCTTACTTTATTATATCTAGTTTTCTTATCCAAAACAGAAAAATGGGTATTTCACTCTCAAAGATCATACCTCTTCTTAATGCTACATACAGCTTGGAAATAGTCTAACAGAGGCTGACACAAAATGAAATCTGTCATTCTAATGCTGACACACCCGAAACGTAAGCGCTAGAGAACGAATATGAAGAGATGATCAATAAGAAACAAACAAAAGAGATAAGGGAAAGGTTAAAGGGGTAAAACCCACAAAGAAAATGAAAAACAGATTTTGAACTGAAATACAGGTTTGAAAATATGAATAGCAGAGAAACCTGCAGCAGCTCTCATGAAGAATGGGTACAATGCTTAATTTGCGACATGTAGGCACACTTTAAGAGTGTGAGTGGAAATATTCTATCATTTGTTTGTGTTAACTGCAGTTCTGATTAAGATGGTTAAAAATTTTATTGTAGTTTTACTATAAGCCACTTGATATCATTCATTGTCTCCACACCAAATAATAATGATCACCAGAAATTTTTTGAATATTGTTTTTGTCATTACTATTTGCCCCAGGTCTGTTACGATTTGCCCTAAGTACAGGGCAAACTGTTACCGACAAATTGTTTTGATTAAACACTTCATGTGCTAAAATCAACAAAATTGCTGAATGTTTGTTTTGTACATATGATGAATGAATAGTTGTATGGTAAAAAGAGCAGTTATATTCAAGGAATTGTACATGTGTTCAAAAATAAAACAGTTTTCCAGAAGCTGTTACAACTAGCCCCTTGCTCAGGGACTTCACTTTTTCATAGGGGTTAAGGAAAGATTATGGATTTTATAAAGTAATTACAATACTAGTATGGGCATGCAAATATGAGAGTCTGTCCTTATATAAATAATTAAACAGAATTTTTTTTTTTTTTTTTAAAAAATTAAGTAAACACTGAAATGGAACAGAACACGTATATGCTTAACTTCGGGTGTATGTAATAGAAAGTACAGTATAAAATCTTTAATCCGGACGTCCATAATGCAGAATGATCTATAATCCGGACCTCAAAGCTACAAACTTTCTGCTCATGTGTAAACGCATAATATCTTTACGCACGCAAGTTTAATGTATAATGGATGGTATAAGCTAGGCTAAAATTATCTAATTATCTATTTCAGTTTACGTTGCAGATTGCGTTGTTCCTTAATCTTTCTAATTGGATCCGGCTTATTTATTATTTTTTTGCAGGACTGTTATTTTTAGCAAAAATTTTTATAAAAAGTAAGCTTGAACTTTCGATTATGTCAAAAAGAGTTTCCAATTCTGGAGCTGCCAAAGGATCTACAAAGCGAAAGCATGTTTCGATGTCCATTAAACAAAAAGTGGAATTGCTGCAAAAAATGGATAAAGGCACTGAAGAAAGTGACAGAGAGGTGATTTGTTTCTCTAACCATTCCGAAATCTGTTTATCAATTTCACGCTCCTCTGCCAGGGGGGGGGGACGTCGTGGTGCGCAATGAACTGGAAGTTGATCTGTCAGCACTATCCTCATCTTTAGGGCAGATGTTTTTATTTTATTCGGCTTATAATTCCTTACTAAATGTAGTGTTTCATCTTGATGTACTCCGATATGATTTAAATCAATTTCCTTGTCATTATAAATATCACAAATACACTTCAAATAGTTTTCTGGTTGCAATTTTCTAATTTCGACTATGCGTAATGTATGCTTTACGCATGCGTGCATTGAAAGAAATGTTTAATAAAGTAAACAAATAAATATTAAGCTTTTTTTTTGGTAAATTTTGATACCTTTTAGATCATAATTGCTCTTTATTTCATAAATTATGGTTTCATATTTTTAATTGTATAATTTCTGCATGCCATCTTACCAGATTTAAATTGATGATCTATAATCCAGAATCGCTGAAGTCCCGACAAGTCTGGATTAAAGACTTTGTACTGTATTTATTTTGGATTCATGTATAATTACTGTATGTATTAGGTGTGTTTGTATCTGATTATTAAAAAAAATAATAATGCTGTGATAATATTAGTAAGTTAACTGTTCATGCAAAACAGAAAGCACACATCAGAGAAAAATTGACCATTTTGGTTTAAATAGTTGCATGTGTTAATTTTTCGCCATTCAATTTTGGAGAATCCAATTATTAAATTTCAGGCCATGTTTTCTCTTTAGTCTCCATGACTGTTAAAATTTTGATTGAAAAATGTTTATGCTATCATTATTATTACTATTATTTTTTGCCATTGTTTAGATTCATTTGATATAATTTCAGGTTAACATTTCATGAAGATTTTTATTCCGATGATACTGATGATGTTGATTCGAAAGGCATTTCACAATCATTATTTGATCATAGTGCCTCAACGACAGATCATTTTACACGAGTACCCAAACCATGTGTCTTTGGAATGGGAAATGACTGTCCTGAGTATGAACAGTGTGTTCCAAAAAATAATCGTGCTCGCACTGGAGTTTGCTCATGTGAAGATGGTTATAATAGAGATTCATTAGGTCACTGTAAAAGAACTCGTGCTTCATCTAATAAGAATCAACATATTACAATTTCACCATCTACCGAATCTAATCAGGTAATTTAATTCTATGTATGCAGCTAAGAATTTATTTTTTTTGTTGTAGGATATTTTTCTGTTAGAAATAGCTATTTGATGCTTGCTTCTTACTTTTAAGACAAATGCAGTCTTCTATATTCTTCAAATGTTGTTTTATATGTTACCTAGTCAAAGTAGGAACATATATATTTAATTATTGTGAAAGTTAAATTTGTGACTTTAATTAGATGCGTAGATTGTATTGAATGTAAATACAGCTTTTAGTTTTGTTTGCTTCTTGGAAATTTATATAACTTTTTGTGTATATTATTTTACTTATTGTATTCTTGAAGGCAATCCATTAACTGAAATACATTTAATGCAAAATCAGCTGCATTTTGTGTAACTTTCATATCAACAATGTTGATTGTAATGAAGCATGACATATCAAACATGTATGCAACTTTTTTTAATTAACTGTGCTCAGTCACTTTACACATATTTATATGCACAGTTTTTCTGTATGATATTTATAAGTTCATTAAAATGGTAATAAGTTTAAGAATTATTCTTTAATAGTTCTAAAGAAGCTTTTAACTTAAATTTAGAAAGGCATCAATCTATATTGGCATTAATTTTAAATAAAAATATTGAAATATACATTTAAATTTTTGATTTCTACAGAGCTGATGTAAATCTACTGACTTTCAGATATATGACTTGTTTTCTTAAAATGCTATCTGAATCTTTTAAGCTACATTACATGGTATCACTGTCCGTTATATCTTATTGATTACTTTTTTGTATGAGGCTCACCAGTACCCCTATAGTAAAGTACAAGGTTGGTATTTAATTCCGAATTTCACTCTTGGCTGCTAATTTGCATTTAAATTTTTTTAACCTCCTGTCAGCCTATATACATAGGTAAGAAAAGTAATATTTTCAGTTTAAACATTTTAAGAGTTTTCAGTAAATGAGCATGTTGATTAGATTTTGGGTAAAATTAGATAAATTGAAGGGGTACTTTACTTGACGTCCATAAGAGATTTTAATAAAAGACTATTTTAAAATGTAGTCCAAAAATTTTGTTACGGTATGTAAGACTTAATCAATGAAAACAGCATGTTAGATTTTGGCTAAAATTGATAAATCTAGAAGTAATTTACTTAAAGTTCTCTGAACAGCTTTCTGTGAAAAAAAAAAAAAAAAAATGTATTATAATGTAGTTCAAAACTTCTCCAATTGGATAATTAAAACATGTATTATGCGTATATGTTGTATATAGAGTCATGACTGTGAATAACATATTATATTGTGTGTGTCTGTGATAAATTTGAAGTGGTACTTTATTTGGAACTAACAGACTTTTTTTGGAACTTTATTTGGAACTAACAGAACTGTGGGAAAAAATAGAATCTCTGTAATAAGAGTTTATTCTGAATAAAGTAGCATGTATTAAGGCTGTTTCTATTATATCTTGACATGTTACTTATTTATATCAAGCTGTAGAAGAGTGATTTTTTATAACAGTATTTCATTTGCTGAAATCTAAAACTTGTAAAAAAAATGCACTTGTTATTCTTGTGCATTGTTGATGATGATGAGGCACAAGAGCAAATGGCAAATTTGAAAAATCTATTAACTTCTTACTGACACTGGAATGCGTGGTAGTCACTCTTCAGCTCTAATTGCAAAAACTGATGAGCACTGTGTATGGATACGTAAATATTGTGGAGATATACGTGCAGATCAGAATTAATTTAGATTTTTTAATATTATAGAAATAACGCAGAAGAAAATTAAATTTTGCTATTTGTTTCAAGATATTTATTTAAAATATAAATATTTAATTTCCTTTAATTAAACACCAATTAATATATATGTTATTCAACTTCTCAATAAAATACAATTTTTAATGAAAAGAAATAAAGGGGTAAACATTTCATTATGTGGATATTTAAAAAAACCACTTTTTACATACAGCCAGCTATACCTAATAAAATGTAATCCAAAATTTCTTATTACTGACCTTCATATTTATTGGAATGAGGAATTAGATTTTGTTTATAAACACCCAATCAGAAATGATATTTGACATAAAGCTTGTTGCTTTTTGTGGAAGTCATGGCAGGTAATGTCATCAAATTTTTTTCATAAATATAACATGAATATAAACCATTTGGAACATTCTCGTATTAACTTCAATTATTTTACCTTAATAATTAATCTAATATGACCTCCATTAAATCATTTTCATTCTTCCAGGAAGTGATAGTGCTTTATAACTTGCTTTTAAATCATGTGAAACTTACTTCAGGTTTTATTTTAGAAAAGATGTGTATTTTTATATGCATTTATCTTTTATATTAATTACTGTAAACTACTAGTTTCTGTTTTACTATAAAATTATTCTATTGATGAATTTTCCCCTGTGGGCGGCTGCATTTTGGAAATTTTGCAGTTATTTTTTAATTTTCTTCTTCATATATTTGTTTTCAGTGAGGTGCTTATTAAATATTCTCCGAGTTAAGTACGAGGGCCATCCAGGAAGTAGATTACGTTTCCGTCTGTGTCCGCTAGGGGCGGGGCTAGCGCGGCCATCTTGGGGTCAGAGCGTTGCGCAGCTCAGTCTGCATCTAGCCGTGCTAGTGAGAGGTTCGTGCTGTGCTCCGTTCAGATACTGTGACGGTTTGAAATGTCTGCGTTAATTGAAAATCCCGCGAGCTGCGAGGTGCGCTCAGTAATAAGGTTTCTGACTGCAAAAAACTGTAAAACCGATAGAAATCTATCGGCAGCTTCGTGAAGTGTATGGGGACAACATTATCACTGAAGGTGGAGTGCGTCAGTGGGTCATAAGATTTCAAAATGGCCGAACCAATGTTCACGACGAAGATCGAAGTGGGAGACCCAGCATAGTGACCGCCGAACTTCTCGAAAAAGTCGATGCTAAAGTCCGTGAAAATCGAAATTTCACAATAACGGAACTTTCTTTGAGTTTTCCACAAATTTCGCGAAGTTTGTTGCACGAAATCATCAGCAAAAAGCTTGGTTACCCCAAGTTTTGTGCAAGATGGATTCCAAAAATCTTGACAGAGGACCACAAAAATCAGCGAATGGCTGCAGCGTTGAACTTTTTGGACGCTTACCATAAGGATGGTGACTCTTTACTCGATCGCATCGTTACTGGTGACGAAACATGGGTGAAACATGTGAACTGTGAAACGAAATTGCAATCAATGCAGTGGGGGCACACAAGTTCTCCCCAAAAACCCAAGAAATGCATGCAAACAATGTCAGCAAGGAAGATGATGGCGACTGTTTTTTGGGACAGAAAAGGTGTAATTTTGGTGGACTTCCTAGAAAGAGGCACTACAATAAACTCTCAAAGGTATTGCCAAACTCTCCAAAAACTCAGAAGAGCAATTCAAAACAAGCGCAGAGGAATGTTGAGCTCTAAGATCTTGTTGATTCACGACAACGCCCGGCCCCACACGGCAAATGTCACTCGTAAAGTTCTTGAATCTTTTAAGTGGGAGTTGTTCCTCCTCATCCGCCGTACAGTCCCGACCTGGCACCGAGCGACTTCCACCTATTCCCAGCAATGAAGAAGTGGCTGGCTATGCAGCGTTTTGATGACGACGCACAGCTGCAAGAAGAGGTAACGAAGTGGTTGAAGGCGCAGGCGGCCGAATTTTTCGACGAAGGAATTTCCAAGCTCGTACATCGCTATGATAAATGCCTTAATTTGTATGGTGACTATGTAGAAAAGTAGTATTTGAGTGTGGCTTTCATCTGTATATAATAAAATTTGTTTCCTATACTTTGTTTATTTTTTTATTCCAAAACGTAATCTACTTTCTGGATAGCCCTCGTATTTAGACTTCATAGTGCATATTGTAACATCGGTATTTTTGACCCTTTGAATTTATATATATATAAAATACCCAATTTTCTATCCAAGTGAACAAAATATGTCATAAATAAGGTAAATTTAGCGTTTGAGGATTTTTTTGACAAATGGTTTTCAAGCCAAAGGCTGGGGAACATATATCCCAGCCATAGTTAATGATGGGATACATATCCCACACATAGAGACTGACTTATTATAAGCACAACTATTATTCTGAAAAACTTTATTATATGAAATAGATTTTACATCATATGGTGCAAGATAAGGCATTCTTTGCATAACCCAACATTATACATTGGGCATCTCATATTTGTTCTTTTCTCTATGTTCGTTTGTGTACAACGAGCACAGCAGCACCTTGATTTTTGAACTATTGGAACATGATCCCCTACATTCTAGAAATTCTAAGCACTTTTTAAACCAGCATTAATTTTTTAACTTTTAGTGTGACATATATGTCCTGTTAGTAGTCAAAGGGTTAAGTCTTGTATCAGTGCATGATTAATTGGGAACTATTCTTATTTATTTAATTAGTAGATTAGGCTAGATTCATAAAACTAATGAAGGTCTTACAACCTTGAATTCTCAGTTTTTTTTATTTTTTTTATATATATATGACTCTACTCATCTAAAGTTTTGTAATAGTAAAAATATTAGCTGTTAATATTCTGTAGATAGGCAATTTAATGTTATAAAAAAGTAATGAGATTTGGCAATACAGTGCTGTTTGGCGACCTTCAAAATACATATTAAAAAATGTGGAAAGCCTCCAAGCTGATCAAGTCATGTAATAAAAGCATAAAATAGTGAATAAAGAGAAAAAAGGTAATGTATCATATTTTGGCTGTGAGATTGAAATTTAATCCTTGAAAAATTAGATCAGAATTCATAACTGCCAATTTTCCTGATGTGAGTGGGAGACTCCTGGTTTTTCATTGCATTTCCTGGTCTCCCAGTAGATTGCCGAATCTCTTTTAGCCTAAGGAACATGTTTCCCAACAATAAATGAAACTTAAATTAGGCAAATTGAATTCCCCCTCTAATGGTTTTGACAATAATTTTTTATGACATTTTATTTCTTTTGAATTGATTTTTTTTATGTTTTATTTTATTGATCTGAGTTATTTTTAAATGGTATCACCACACAGTGTGAAAACATCTGGTTTCTCCCGTTTTATTGGAAAAATCTCCAAGTTTTAAGATTTCAAAGCTTTCAGCTGTGAGTACTAGAAATGCTGAATGGAAATCATTTTACTAATGTTATTTTAGTACGATACAAACAGTATGGAATTTACATGTTACATTTTGAAAGTGCAGTAAAAAATTTTTTTCCATTTGCAATTAGTGAACTGAATCAAATTATGAAAGTTTAAAAAATGCAAGACTGTTGAGTAGTCAGACTGCTGAACTATAGTTTAGTGTACTTTCAAATCACAGTAAAAATAATACCTGTATAGAGCCATTTATTTCACTAAAAAAAGTTCTTGCTTTCTTTTAAAGTAAAAGTTCTCCCCTTTCTTCACTCACTAATTTTATTTTGAACACACTACAGCACGATTTTTTATGTTAGAATTTTAGCTCTTTTTCCCTACAGTCACATAACACAAGATTGAGATCTCCGATCTTGCCTCCCTGGATTCACCGTTTAATGAAGCAACTGTGAATTCGCTTTCCAGTAAGTCATCTGTCATCTTTTCAGAGTCAGTCTCTTCAGCTGATGAGATGAGGATTTCTTCTATTGCTTGGCGAGTCATGATTTCTGTTGCATTTCTGCTTTTTTAAAATCTCAGAAGTGAAATTTTTCAGTTTAATATCTTTTTGAGTAAAATATGTTAGGGTCTGCTGCCACCCAAAGAGAGTAGTGGTTAGTGACACTGACAGCCATATCGAAGGGTCTGTGCTTGAATCCTGGAAAAAGCATAGATATCTGTAAGTGTGTAGCACCTATTTGGCAAGGGGGCATTCAAAATATGCAACAAACCGAAATCCTCTCGAGAGGTTGATGGGAGGGTAAGAGGTTTGGAAGATCAGTGGATACCTCCTTAGCAGTTAACTAGAGTTTAGCAATTAGTAAGGCCCAGTGATACCTAATACACCTAAATGGATGGCAAAGTGCTGGTCTTGCCTGTACTTGTTAGTGTGTTCTGTATAGCATTTAAATAACATTTAGACTACATTGTATATATTTATACCACAAAGAAAGATGTAGTTTAGAATTGAATGTCTGTTTACCTAATATTTAGTCATTGGCAATCAACTTACTGTAATTTAAAACAAATTGCAGATTTGGAAAAAAAAATTAAGTGCAATTTGCATTTAAATGACTATATATGAGGTAACATTAATAAAATAAAGCATAAAGAAATTTATTGTAATTAACTTTGAAGAACAGACTGCTGTATTTTGTAAGGCAAACATTGTGTGAATATTATCGTGACCTAATAAGGGGATAGAATTAAAAGAATTCTTAACCCTCTGTTAAGTGCAATACAGAAGTTGTAAATTCAAGTGTAGTGAATCTACTAGATTTATATATTTCATTTATGTACTCGAAAGTAACTTGTAAGCATTTGTTTTATCTTTATTAAGAATGACAGTTTACATGTACACAGTTGCAGAAACTAAATATGAAAATCAACAGAACATAAAAACATGAAGCTAAAAAAGGAACTAAAATTTTTTATTGAAGCTGTCAGATTAAATATAAAATAAAATACTAATTAAAAAATTTCAACAATAAAATCATGCTCAAAAATCTATTACTGAAATTTCTGAAACAGTAGTATCATACAGAAAAAAAATCTTTGGTACTATTCAGTTTTGAGGGCCGTAAAAAAATTGCAGCGAAAATGTATGCGCAAAAGCGCCAAATCTAGAAAACGTGCCTGCCCATTTAACAGTGCGCCAAATCTAGCGTACGCGTTGATTTCAGATTGCATAAGTTCATATAGTTCTATATTTCTTAAAACGCCATTGACATACTAGTTTAATTTTTAAATCCTTTTTTGATATCCTATGGATTTAACAATTTGGGAATTGCCCATGATGAAAAGTCGGCAATAGAATTTTGGGTAAAGTCCAGATTCACCCACTACTTGACGCGTTTTTAAGAATTGCACCTACTCGGTATCCATGTGCACATAGACCTATTTTCACTTAAAAAAATCATAGAATTGCACAAAAATGGCACTGCGCACACCCTTGACTTTATCTATGTACGCATCGACCTATTTTTACTTAAAAAATAAAAGAAAATTGACAATTCTATTGTTTTTACCCTTGTAAAAAGCGGCAAACAAATACGTGTGCGATTCTGCACTTTACCGAGAATATTTTCAAAGAAAAGGCATCATTCATTATAGAAAATTACGTTTGAACAACCAACGATATGAAATTATGCTTTAGCGATAAGTCGGTAGCGAAATTATGCTTTAGCGATAGTTGGTAGCGAAATAGCGAATAACTTATCCATTCAGTTATGTTTAGCAATTTTTATATAAATTATAATAATGATTTGAAATAGTTATTTACTCTTATGCTTCCATTCAGTCATGTTTAAGCCTTTTTCATATAAATGATAATAATAAAAAAGTATTATATGAAATTAACCTTTCATCTAAATTAAAACATCAATCTTAGATAGTTATTTACTATTATACTTCCCTTCTTGCCGCAATTATTAGGGTTGCCACAATTATTTTCGGCAGCATTGGCATCAACAATAGTTTGGCGATTTTTTTACGGCCCTCGAAACTGAATAGTACCAAATCTTTTTATATTTTTCATAGATAAGCATAAAAGCAAGTTTGCTTTTTTGGTGTCTAAAAACTTTATCTGTTTTTGTTTCTTTATTACATTTTTAGAAATTTAGCAGTTAATTTCATAGTTTTCTTTTTGAGAGTGTAGAATCAAGACCCCCCCCCCCGAAAATCTAGTGAGAGTTCAAGTAAGTGCAGATAGCAGTGTTATTGGAAAACTGACTGTTTGAAATAAAACATTGAAATTTGTTGGAAATACAGTGATACACGCACACAAATAGGAAATACTTTTGCTTATTTGAAAGTATATTATTGTAACAATATTAATTGCTAAAGCAATTTGAGTAGGAAATTGAAATTGTGTAAATCTACTATGCATGGCAATGCAGCACTGTTTTGAAAATTTTATGAAATTTTAAAATTTCATGTGAAAGTTCGCCATTGCCGGTCAAAAATATCCTTGTTAGCATCTGCTGATTTTTTACTGTTATATATTTCTTAGAGCAGTAGATATATATAAATTTTTTTGAGAAAAATTGCTAGTTCAATGTTGGAAGACTTTCCTTGTAAGTGAAAATATGGAACTTCTGTTTTAGTTTCTTTTTATATTGAAATTTATTGTCTAGATTTTTCATTAGCAAGCAAAATACACAAAAGGTTGAATTATCAAATTCTATAAATTGGGTATGTTTTAGAATGAAATAATTATTTTGCATATGTTTCTTTATTTATATTTTTATAGGCTTTATCTCAAAAGAAAAACAAAACAGATAAAATTATATCGACAACAGAATTACCTGTTCATCGACTTGTTGTTTCTGCTGGGGATAATGTTACTCTACAGCTCCCTGAAAATGAAGTTACTCTTTCTGCCTATGCTTTAAGACAGGAAGAAGGTATGTATTCATCATATTACTGTGTTTGTTCAGTTACAAATGTAAGTAATATGTAAGTAATAATAAGTAATCTTAAAATGTCGTATAGTACAAAGTCTGAAATCCGGAACACAAAACCAACAACGTTTTTTCTCGTAGGCTTTACACACATGCATAATAAAAAATTTGGAGAATCCTGATTCTTAATTTCACTTCGACAGTAAATAAAATACCTTGTTATTGAAGAAACAATCATTTTAGCATAAATTTGTACGATCAGTAATTTGGCTCCATTGCTGCATATCTACTTGGCACACATCTCAAACCTAAACATTCCACATAGATACATCGTTGATCTGATGCCAAGCTAGCGAATCATTATTTATTATACTTTCCTTTCATCACCACATGTTTATCAAAATATGAGAACTTGAGTAATGACTTATGTAGCCATGCCTAAACAATTTTTTTTATGCTAGTAATTGAATAATAAAGGAATATGGTAACTTTTTATGTTGACATTACGGTTCACAATGATTACAGATTTACATTAAATGCGCTAGAAAACGTTGATGAGGAAAAATTTACCAATAATTTCTTTTCATATGCTAAAAACAGATTTTGTTGATACTCTTGGACCCAAAGATTACATTTAGGGCTATTTGAATTAATAACTGATTTGTTATTCACATAAACCCAGAACCAGCACCAGGGCTTGTATGGCCACACCGAGTTGCAGAATTTAGGACCCACAGAGACTGCATCAGGCGGTAAGATATCTAGCACCGGCCCTCAATAAGGCTTAAGAATATGAGCAAATTTATTTATTCAGAACTCTGATAAGCCTTAAGTGTGTGCAAGAAATAGACGTAAATATTATAAATAGCTAAACTAATACAATTCAGGCTTAATTGCCTCAGTGCATGATACAAGCAAGATAAAATTTAATGGAACAACTTGTCGTTAGTCGCCAAGCTCATGATTTGTAGCCAAATATGTATAGTGAAGTATAGCTAAATTTGATGATGATAGCCGCTAATCTTAAAGGTTTTTGGATATGGCAAAACAAAGGTGAAATTTTCAACAAATGGTAAAATGTGAAGAAGCACTAATAAATGAAAATGATATAAAAGTTTTCCATTGTAATGACAATGTTTCTGAATCATCAGTCAATTAATGAATGGCGAAATCTGTAGTATGGTTCTAGATCCAGAAAATACCGCTACCGATAGTGCAGAAAGTGACATAGAAGTTACTGAAAATTTTGATCGACAAGTTAGTTCGAATTCTCGAAACGGCAGTTACAGGACCTTCAACAATGTAACTAAATAAGAGATTATGTCTGTCTACAGAATTAAAGAGAAAGTATTAGCACAAAAAATGAAGCAACTTAAACAACTTACATTGAAAGAAATGTTTAATAAGGTAAATAAATAAATGTAAAGCATTTTTTTTTTTGTTTGTAAATTTTGGTACCCTTTTGATCATAAATACTTTATTTCATAAATCCCGATTTCATATTTTAATTTTATCATTTCTACATGCCATCTTACTAGATTTAAGCTGATGATCTAATATCTGGAAAAATCCCAAATCCGGAATCGCCAAAGTCCGGAGGAGTTCAGATTTTGGATTTCGTACTGTTGTAAACGTGTTTGCCAAATTACGTTCTTAAAACTACCAGAAGCAGATTAGAAGATTTGCTACTGCTGTTGCTTGTTTTCAGTCTATGAATAGCTATCAAAGGGGAAAATGCAGCATTGTTTCACTAGAAATGATAACATTAAGCAGCATTTTAATCTCAAATTCTTTGTAAAATTGATGAAATCATAAATGATGAAATAATTTGCCAAGGTATAAAAATAAGTTACGGGAATGAATGATTGGATCATCCTATTTCCTGTTTTCAATGACTGCCAAATAAGCATTCACATTATATTGATGTGATGCACGTAAGATAAGCAGATTACAACAGTATTTTTCATGACCAATTGAACATGCACAGAATCTGTATGACAGGTTACTTAAAAACCTCATAAACTAAAAGATGTTTGAAAATAGTGCATTTGCTTTAATACCATTGCATGACTTGCTGTCAAAGATCATTACAAAGACACAGATTTCTCATTTTTACTCAACAAAGAGGCTGTCAGTATACTAGAAATCTTCCAAAATCTTCAGGATTGAAAAAGTATAAGCAAGCCAAAAAAAAAAAAAAAAAAAAAAAAAAAATCATGTTATGCCAGCATTTAAAAACTATTGTAGAAAAGAGAAAGTGTACAGATGCTATAAATCAAGGAAGAAGAATTGTCAATAAACTGTTGATAAAAGTTTCGTGGACAACAGAAGAAGTTAAATTAGCTATTGAAAAAGTATATAAAATTTTAAATATATATGAAGTTTGGCATTTTAAAAGGAAAACTAATTTTTTTCAAACAATATGTTAAAATATTTTTAAAAATCAGATTGGAAACGGATTATAAATGGTCTAAAGATTTTTAAAATAAAGAATATAAAAGAATTGTTACAGAAAAGTTAGCTATAGATTTAGAGAAAATAGGAAGAGAAATCCAGGTAAGAGACATATAGCTAAACTTTGTTTAAATTCAACATGTGGGGAAAATCTGAAACAAACTGAATATGCTACAGAATTGGAAGATTTTTATAAAATCATTCTAAATGATACTATTAAGGATCTACGTATGGTTTTTATTAACTGTGATTGTGTAGAAATGAAGTATGGAATGAAAGATAATACAAGTGCAGAAGTGTATAGCAGTTTTTTACTACCAATCCTGCTAGAATAAGGTACTATAAAATGCCTAAAAAATTAGGAGGTAAAGCATTGTATTATAATACGGATTCTATTGTTTATATTGGTGATCGTACTAATAAAGGTAGAAACAGGATATGTGTTGGGCAGGTGAATATGTAAAATCATGGATATCGGGTGTTTCTAAAGATTATAGCTACATTTTATGTAATAATTATGAAAAAGGAAAAGCGAAAGAATTTAAAATGAATCATGAAAGTGAAACCAAACTCAATTTTAAAAAAGTAAAATAATAAGAGAAACTAATCGCATAAATGTAAAAATTAATCAAATTAAAAAAGATAGAAATATAAAAGTAAATTAAATGATTAAAACATGTACATTGAGTTTTGATAAAAGGATTTTAGATAATTATGATACTGTACCTTTTGTATATCCAAATCTTGTATAAATTTATTATTAAATAAATAAATGCTGTGTTATGTTAGGAACATATTTCTACTAAAAAGTTATCAGAAAATTATTAAGATATATTTGATTGGAAATTAATATATATACATCAGGAATTATTGGAAGAATTTATAGAAAAATTTCAAGGTAAGGTTGGTTGATTATTTTTTTTTTTACGTCGCTTGTCAGAAATTATCAGAAGAATTTGTAGAAAAATTTCAACATAAGATTGATTAGAGATATATTTCTTTTTATCAGAAATTAGCAGAAGAATTTATTGAAAAATTTCAAAGTAGGGTTGATGTGGAATATATTTCAGGAAATCATTATTTGAAGAATTTATTGAAAAATTTCAAGATATGGTTAATATATATGCATTTGGTTTCAAGATATAATTTCACTTTATAAGGTGTGAAAAAAATCTTTAGTTGTATGTATTTTTCAGCAGGATAAATGTTTACCCTTCTAAATCTTTCATTTGCAATGGCGCATTTCAGTCCATTGAATATAGATAGAAATAAGGTCTCCTAAAAATGCTAATTTTTCTACACCAAACACTGTAACTGACCCTGTGCTAAAAATGAATAAAAGTATTTTAGTTTCTTTTTATTCTTTGCTTACTCCAATACAGTTTCTCATTCATCTATGTTTAGTTAAATTTTAATTTCACCACTTCACTCTTTTCCTGGATAAAGACTCATCGATTTCAAAATTGTTGCCTAGTGTCAAAACATTACACAATTGCAGGAATTAAATGTGGCGTGTTATCCCTGAAAGTTACCCATCGCTTCGCGTTTTCCAAAATCCTAGAATGCAGTGAAAATGATAGAAGGTGAGTGATGGCTAATTTGTCATGTAGGGATCTTGTGATCTCCACAAAGAGGCTGTGATAAGATCACACAAAAGGAAAGCTCACTTACAAACATGGGAAATATAAATGCATTTTAGATCGATCTTATAGTGGAACGAAAAAACTGCTGATTTGAAAGCATGCTTTTAAGATTTAGGGCATCGTCTTTGTTACTTTCAGATGAGGAACTAGGGAACACGAGAGAAATTTTTCCGGATTGGGACATAAGTACATGGTTTTCGAAATAAGTCCTCATGGCTGGTGAAAGGAGAAGAAAATATTTCTAAGGCCAGTTTTAGATGCAAAACACTTATCTTTGGAAGGAAAAAAAAAGGGGCAAATATTTGAGTTTTTTTTAGCTTTGATAGAAATAAGAGTTTTGAGGTGTATCAAATAATAAAATTGTTTAACAGCTTTTCTTTCTGAACAAAATTATATATTACAACAAATTAAAAGGGGCTCTCACGAGACCCGATAATTGAAAGTATGTGGGGATGATTCTTGCTATCATACCATGAAGCATGATCTTTTTATGTTATCTAAAGCATAAAACATAATAACTTCAAAAATGCAGCATAATTTTTCTGCTGTTTTATTTTTCAATTTATTTTTTGCCCGAGTTACATCTTGTAACATTATACTAGTTCAATTACAGCATGATATGGTTTACTCATGCAATCTTGTATTTGGTAAATTTTTTCATAAAATAATAATATTGAACTTAAATAACTTTCGAAAGCTTTTTACCCATGTTTTACATAAGTATGTTCAGGTGGATGGCATCATCAAAGTGCATAAAAACATGAATTTTATTTTTAAAATTTTAAATTTCTAGTGAAATTTTAAAAGTTTTTGTCTTCAGACTTACATAATTATATTCAAGCACCCATCTTTAGATGCACATCAAAAGTATGCAAAAATATATGAAACAATAAACAAAACTAACAATTAGCAGCTACCTGTAAAAGAAATTTTCTTAGTGGGGCTCCAGTATAAAATATATAAACTGGCCCTCAAAATTCAGGATTTCACTCTATAATTTTTTAAAATTTTCTGTTCTTAGGTTCCATAAGTCACAATTTATGTGAAATTTTGCCACAATTCAAATTATTTTATATACCGTGCCTCAAATGGTTAAATCTAATGGGGGGGATTTGATCATAGCCCTGATTCTTTCAGAGTATGTGTATTATTTAAATTTTTTTTGTATTTTTTGATTTTGGGGATGCAAAAAATATGTTTATAAATTACCTTTTTTATGACTATTTTATACTTCTTTTTTTGTTGTTGTTGTCATTTTTAACCTTTTTTATGTTTTAAACAAGCTGAAATTTGGTATCAAATTTAATGTCTCTTAATAAGGGGTGAATGTTTATTATGAGCAGCATATGCCCTATACTATAGGAAACATGACAAATTCTATAGGAAACATGACATATTTATTTAAATTACATTTAAATCAACATTGTGAAGGATTTATCATGCTACCTGTAGTATGGGACATACGCTAGGGAGATATAAGAATGCATCAATGGTGTGATGATGTTTTAATAATTTAAAAGATTTACATCGGCTGCGCAGGTCAAGTGCTTTTCTAATAAAGGTTGCAGAGATAATATGTAAGTAACATGCTTCTGTAGAAAGAATAACATTATATAATGTGTTTAGAAGATCAAAGCTGTATTTTCTGCAAAAGTATATGATAGTGCTTTATTTCTGTGCATGAAACTGCATTTAATTTTTCAATTTGTTTCTTTAATCATAGGGTAGGGAGTTAATAAAATTTAGGCATTAATCACAAAGTGTAAGTTTTTCACATGTATGTTTTTTATGAGAAAAAAATGCTGCTTTGCATAGTTTACATTTTTTCATAGTTTTATAAAATTGTGCTAATTTCTGGAAAATTTTATTAAAGCTTATAACTTGTGTTTTTTCTTTTGGAGTTGTTATTTATTGGAAAGTTCTAATCTTTAATAGGTGAAGGTGATAATTATAAGTATGAATGGAATTTGATATCTCATCCAGAGGGTGATGAAACAGGTACAATGCAAGACCAGAATACCAAAAATTTAAAGCTGTCGAAGGTAAAGTCATGTCTTTAACAATTAACTTTTAGATATCTATAAAAGTAGATATTTTCCTTCTATAACAAGATTCTCCCATTATTCTTGTTGGTTTCGGAAGGTACAGATTTGCTTTTAAATATGTTTTCTTTTTTAATAGCTGTCATGGCATTTAACCATGTTCTCGTGTTTCAGTTTATAGAAAGTGTTTTCAGACTGTATGCATGCATTAATAGTATTTCCCTATATTCATATGAAATATAAAAATATAGGGCCATGAAAAAATGTCTCAAACTAATATTTGGCATACAAAAATGAAGGTTCTGAAGAATTATTTTAATTTTAAACAACTTTGTATGCCTAGTGGCTGAATATACATGAAGTTCGAGAAGCAGTACAACTACAATTTTGGGTGACATAATTGTTAACTTGCATGGTTCTAGTGTCATTGAATGTTTAAATTATGTTCCGGAAGGGTCTCATAGACCATAAGTTATTGGCAGAGTTCCTGTTTCATCCTCATTAATAAGGACATTGGAGCTGTTTACTCAGTAACTGATTGCGTTTCATGGATTCATAATTAGTGAGTCATTTAAATATATCGTTGATTAAGGAATCATTTGGATATTTTACTATGCCTTTTGATATTACCTGTATGTGGATGTGTATTATTCTGCTTGAAAATGCTATTTGTTATACCTGCAAAATATAATAGTGTAAATGACTGCAGCACTTCATCCACATAGCATCAGGCTGTTGTATCCATTATGCTTCCTATAGATGATCAGTTGCTGATGCTGAAGGCATTCCAAACAATGGCCATATGTAGTTGAGCTTGAACACTGAATAGTGCCAAAAGAAGATGGACCTGAGGTGAACACTGAACACCATACTGTGCCATTGTGTGTACTGCTAGACTGTGATGCAGTGACTAACGAGTTGTTTATTGGCATATGTAGTAAAACCTTTAGCAAAAACTATTTCAACAGAAATGTCCAAAAATTATTATCGTCTTTTAACCTTCTCGCTGCATATCCCGCGATTCGCACAGGTAACGTAGAAGTAGCAAATTTGCACAATCTGCGATTTCCATGGGGATGCATTCCCCCCCCTCTATATAACTGTGCAACCCGCTCTTTTCCAGTTCATCATTTAATTCGCCTTTTCTGTAATGTTTAATTGTTTATTCAGATCTGGGTTAACAGATGGCATTAGCTGTCCATATTTCTGTGAAATGTATAAGCATGTTTTATACCATTTTGCATGCTCTTTTCAAAGCTCAAAGATGTCTGTCTGTATTTCAACTCTCTCAATTCCATGAGACAAACTGCTCAACATTTTGCTAGCCATATACCCCAATCCTATCCAGAAAGAGCCTAGTAGATAGTGTACTGTTTGTTTCTAAAAAAAAAAAAAAAATTGAAACTGGCAAAAACATTCTCTAAGAAACGCGAATTTGGTGTAAGCAGGACAGGACTTTGCTTTGAATTTAGTTTTAAAGTTTATCATACTAAACTTCACCTCAAATAAATATTTTGTAAGTATTTTGAATATTTTCATTAGTATATATGTTTACTTTTGTATATTTCATAAGCAAATCATAATTTAACCAAGATTAATTTTCCAAATTTTGCTTTTATGATCATTCTTTGATTTCAGTTTTCTGACAACCCTTTTTTTTATCTAATTTTATATTGTAAAAAACTCTTTTACAAAAAAATTTTGTATATTTTAACTCTAAAATTATGTGCAGATTCGAAATATGTAATTAAAAAAATATGCAAATTTCTATCTATTTTGATAAAAAAGATATGCAGCAGGAGGATTTATCTGTTTTCTAACATAGAAAACTGCAGAGGACGTGGTGAACTTCCTCTGTGGAACTGTGGCATTGATGATGATTTCTCTGTGGAACTGTGGCCTTGATGATATAAAAAGTTAGCTTTAACAGACAGTTTTCCCTTTTGTCACACTTTCAAATGGTGCCACTGAGCAGAAACTTCAGAATTTTGCATAGCTTTAAATACATCTTGGTTCTGGCATAGTGCAGCATTCTCTGACTGGAATATTGTACATTTAGTTATCTATTAAATTATTCTTAGTGTTATTAGCTAAGTAACTGCAGGTTTGAGAAATATTAAGTTTCTTCTGCGCAAGAAAAATGTAAACTTTCAATTAAATTAATTACAAGCTTTAAAGGTGAATTACAAGCTTTTGTGATTTTTCACTTCATTAACTAACTAAACATAGAAAATTTTGAGGTGGTGTGCTTTGAATTGGTAATATTTCTGGTTATTTTTCAGTTAGTGCTAATTTATTAACCCTTTCACTGTCCTCTCCTGTCCGCGAAAATTTCTCCCCAGCGTCTGTTTGTTCTTCGTAGCATGTAACGTGGTTTTCTCTGTGCATCATAACTTTCCATACATGACTTTCGTAGTGGATGAATGTCAATGAATATTAAGTAAAATTATAAGAAAATAAAGCTTAATGGAAAAATATTATCTCTCCTTATTTCTAACAGCAGGATAATTTGATAACATCTGATCCAGGTGCCGCTCCTCCCAGTTTGTTGTTGTTGTAATCTTTTGCAATTATTGTTTTTTTACAGTTCTTTTCTTTGTTCCAACATCAATCATCAAGTTATTATGGACTGTACTCATCAATCATATATCCTTCTTGTCTTTGCAATTCACAGCCTCATTTTTTCTCTTTTTTCTGCTGAGTAAACGTTGAAGCCATCTCTCACTGTCTTGTATCTTATGTAAAATGGTGCAAATATTCATAAAATCCAGGGCAAATTCAATTAGAAATAGAATGCGTGATTAGTGCTACCCTCTAGGAGGTATTAGAGCAAAACTCAAACAAGTAAACATTTAGAAAGCATTTTAAATATTTAAAAGTTTTAAAATGTAGAACACTTGAGGCATGCTACGACCGCCCTGCGGAAGTTTCACTTGAATGCACTAGACGCGTTACGGATGATGAAGAGGTTAATTTTTAATAACATTTTATTATTCTTTTTGCATATGGTAAATGCTTACTGCTGAGAAACACATACGCACACAAACAGGGCCCTAACCTACCTAGCAGGAATTAATGTTTAGCCTAAGACTACTAGAACTAGCCATGCAACAGCAATGAAATATTGAACGAACAACAAAATAGCAGTTAGTTTAACTGCTTCCTTTAGATGTGAGCTCTGATGAACCTAAAATAACCCCCCTTTTTTATGGTTGTTTGCTCTGTAACTTCAAATGAGAACTCGGTGCAGTTGAATCAGCTTCTTATATTAGTATGATACTCACAATACTGAATGAAAGGCATACGAGAGCAACTATACTGTGCAAGCCATTAGTGTACATGCTTCTGTAATTTCGGTTTTGGCTTTAAAGGTTGTCTCAGTTAATAATGGCCTATTGGGGTGGATGACAGTAGATTCACATAAAAAACTATATGAGAAATTGTGGAGATCTTAATCAGAATACCCATGAAGCTGCACATGAGGTTGCAAAGACTAGTCAGAGTGTGAATAAGCCGGGTACCATCATGATTGATTACATGCATGCTTTTGTCAAAGTGAGCAAGCTTCAGCACTGAGATGATCCACCCAGTAACATTTGTCAGCAAAAATGTCTCCTGTTTGCCTTTATCATAAATCTTGCCTCACTGATGACGGATGAAATTCTTTTGTGACAGGAATAAAAAATGATACTTCTTTGCCAATATGATGATCAAATAAACTTAAATTATTAAAAACAAATCCCTATCCTCAGTTAAAATATTAATCTCATCATAAAAAGTGGTATGAATTTGATGGTATTTATGCTATATAATTTTTTGAGATTTGGTTCTGCCTGGCACTGACATTATTGCTGAATGTCACAGGTAGCATTTAAAGTTCTTTGATAAATTCATTGTAATGTACATGCAGAACACCATTGGGTGATCACTACATGCTAATACAAGATGATATATAGTTTAAGCACCCTGCCTGAAGTTATTGGACCACCCCCCCCTCCAAATCTGCTTTGTCACTCAGAATTTGCTGTAACAGATTGCTTCTTTTTGCTTCTGTTGACTGATAACCACAAAACATAGGTTATCAAATTTTGCACAGGGTTTGTACGGTTCTTAAGAGTCCTCAGGTTTTTTTTGGAATAAATTTTTGGTCCTTAAAAGTCCTTAATTTTGGCCAAAATCGGCAGAAGGTCTTTAATTTTAATCGTCTGAAATTTTTGTCTGTTTTTACGACTGCCATTTTGAGTGTGAATTAGCATTTTGAAGGAATATTTTTGGTGATTAACTTGCATATGTGGTTACCTTTTGAATGGATTATAATTTGCTCCTATTTCTAATATACAGTCAAAAGTCGTTAATTCGGACACCCATAATCCGGAATGATCTATAATCCGGACCTCAAAGCTACAAACTTTCTGCGCATGCGGCGCCACGTAAGACCTTTACGGCTGCGAATATGCGTGTGCACGTGTGCAAAATACGTTTACGAATGCGCATTTAATGTATAACGGATGGTATAAAACTAAGCTAAGCTAAAATTATCTAATTCAGTTAATGTTGCAGATTGCATTGTTCCTTAATCTTCGAATTGGATTCGGCTTTTTATTTTTTGCAGACTGTTAGAGCAATTTTATAAAAGTAAGCTTGAACTTTCGATTATGTCAAATAGAATTTCTGATATATATTTACTAATATGTAAAGGATCTACAAAGCGAAAGTATGTTTCGAAGTCCACTAAACAAAAACTGGAATTGCTGCAAAAAATGGATAAAGTCATATCCTTTGTTTATCTAAACTTTAATGTTTGTTTATCTAAACTTTGTTTATCTTTAACGTCATGGCACGCAATGAATTGGAAGTTGATCTGTCACCACTATTCTTATCTTCAGGGCAGATGTTTTTATTTTATTTGGCTTATAATTCCTTACTAAATGTAGTATTTCATCTCGATGTATTCCGTCTTTGATATGATTTAAATCAAATTCCTCGTCATTATAATTCGC